CAGGTGTACATCATTGTACTTCTATTTCTGCATAGATTACATCATGTTCACCACCAAAATACTAATTACAACCCATCACCACACACATGTACCCAATTATCCCTTTCACCTTCCTCCCTCCCCCCTTCCCCTCTGGTAACCACCAATCCAATTGGACTGAGGATTTTAAACTGAGTAAAGAGGGATGTGATGACATCAGGAGTGGAGGAACAGTGAAAAGGAAGTGTTCTTTTAAGTAAATATCACGATTTTTCTGATTATCAGCCAAATTTGAAAACGGAATAAAAAGAGATCCCCTTTTTTAAAAAACAATTATTTTGGGTTTGCAGAGGCCTGTTTTGCTTCAAGGTTCAAAGCTGTGTTTACTAAGTTGATGAAAATGCTTGGATATATGTTACTGTTATACTCTGAGAAATAGTTAACTTATTTGTGTTTCTTTTCCAAGTTGCTGAAGATTGCCTTCAGGTTTCCCAGCCTGCCTTTTCTCATGAGTCTTCTGCTTGTCCCCCCAGGGCACCTTTCATAGCCAGCAGGCATTGGAATATGGCACCCAACTAGTTGGAGGAACCACTCCAGGGAAAGGAGGCAAGACGCACCTGGGCTTACCAGTGTTTAATACTGTGAAGGAGGTAATGGATGGTGCTGAGTTTGGCAAGAAAAGAAAAGCAGAGGAAGAGCAAGCATACTTTGGATAGCGATCTTAATTGTGTCCCTTTTAGGAGAGTCACTTGCTATTTTAATATCCAATAATCTAGAGAAATTGGAATCTCAGTAAAAACCAGTGGGTTCACTTTAGTCACATAGGCCCAGGACGTTTTCTCCGGTCACTTTGGTTTATAGGCATTATCAGCTCATAAGGGAAGAGGTGCTGTGGCTTGGCTTCTATTTGGCTTATTATCCTTTCCTTACCCTTTCTTATTCTAGGATGTTAGTAGTGCACGTGTCAGCATCCCCCCAGCACTTACTGAGAATGGGCTCTTTGCCAGGTGCTGTGCTAGGTGCTTCTTATACATGCCTCATTCAGGCCTCACCACAGCCCTCTGAAGGAGGTGCTGCTCCCATCTCCACTCTAAAGACAAGGATACTATAGGTGCAGAGAGGTGAAGGGTTCTGCATGTAGTCTCGTAGCTGAGAAGTGGCAGACTTAGCAGGGCTCAGAGTAAGTAGTATGGTGTTCCTGTGTGAAAAAACTGAGCTGTCGAGTCGGATTGACAAATCACAGAGTCCTAGTCTCTTCCCCAAATTGCTGGTTTCTTAATACTTTTAAAATGATTTTAAGCTAAACTTTAATTCTTTGTTACAAAACTAATATGTGCTTATTGTAAAAATTCAGATAAGATAAAAGTATGTAAAGTTAAATTTTATAGTGTTTTCCACGTCTCAGATTTTGCCTTTATAGAGAGCTAATTTAAGCTCAGTGCGTATTCTCTTTCTACACCTATATGACTATATAGAAAAATAACAGTATTATAAAAGAAACTATAGTACAAATTCTTGGCTATTTAATAAAAAAAATCTAGGAAATAAACTTAGTACTTGGGATTGATGATAATAAAAAAAGTACCCCTCCCTCTCTTCATAAACATACTTTTAAGGCATGTTTTAAAGTATTGCATTGTTTACAAGTACAAATGTATAGACTTAATCTCTTTTCAGAATACTAACTTGAAATTGAAGTTAATTTGTGTTCTTAAACCTAAAATGCAGGAAAAAACAAATCTCATTCAAGTTTGGAATTTTCATTTTACTGTAAACTTGAGAATAGAGTATACTGTATGTGTGTACGTGTGTTTTAAGTGTACTGTATTTTATTTATTTTTTTTGGTGAGGAGATCAGCCCTGTGCTAACATCTGCCAATCCTCCTCTTTTTTTTTGCTGAGGAAGACTGGCCCGGGGCTAACATCCGTGCCCATCTTCCTCTACTTTCTATGGGACACCGCCACAGCATGGCTTGCCAAGCAGTGTGTCTGTGTGCGCCCGGGATCCGAACCGGCGAACCCTGGGCCGCCGCAGCGGAGCATGCGCACTTAACCGTTCGCGCCACCGGGCCGGCCCCTAAGTGTACTGTATTTTAAAGAGTAAAAAAAAAACGTTGAAAATCGTATGTTCTGTAGAAGAATCATTTAAAGTCTTTTTGCTTTAAATTTTTGTTTGTTTTTTTTTCCCTCCCTAAATTCTCTTGTGGCTGACTTCATGACCTCAAAGTATAGAGAGGAACTGTTTTCTTAATTCCGCTGGGGAGATTTGACTTTTGTCGTGAGCCTTTTTTGGCTTTCTTTTGAAGGAAGTTTTTGTTGCTAGGCAATTCATTTATTATTCATTGTGATACAAATAGATATGATATTTGGAATATTCTGTAAGTTCTTTGACAGATACTGTTTCTTTCTCACCTGTTCAGCTCTTACAAAAAGCTTTCTGAATGAATAGGATGGATACCTTTCATCCAGTATTATTTGCCAGCACCGAACCTGTTGTCACAGTCTAGCTTCTGATGTATTTGTAGCCTTAAGAGGTAGAAAACTGTGGGATATATTTTCTTTTTTTTTTTTTTTTTTTTTTAATATTTTTTTTTTTTTTTTTTTTTTTTTTCTCCCCAAAGCCCCAGTAGATAGTTGTATGTCATAGCTGCACATCCTTCTAGTTGCTGTATGTGGGACTCGGCCTCAGGATGGACGGAGAAGTGGTGCCTCGATGCGCACCCGGGATCCGAACCCGGGCCACCAGCATCGCAGCGCGCGCACTTAACCACCAAGCCACAGGGCTGGCCGTGTGGGATATATTTTCCATAAAATACCTACATGCCTATGATCTGACATCTTTTGGTACCAACCTAGTTTTGCTTCTTTTGTACCCCCTTCTCTGTTACTACCTTGAACAGAGTTTTTAAAAAATTATTTTCAACCCTTGGCGTTGTTTGTGGATGCTCTGTCAGCATCCTTTGACTTTGTTCTTCCGTCACTGTGAAAATTCCTTTTTTTATTAGGGATGCAGTAGAGAGAGCTCACTCGGGGGATGTGGGGGATCATTCAGGGATGATTCTCGAAGACACTGTTTTTCACTTCTGTCCTTTCTAGTTGTACCTGTATGTTCTGTAGCTTAGTATTCGTATCTATTGTAAAATTCCATGGGACAGCCTTTCAAAAGGTTTTGATTTGTATCTTGATTAAGTTACATTTTTACATTTATAGGGAGGCAGCCCGCTGTAACTGAAAACGGACACTTTCGAATCAGATACACCTAACTTTGACTCTTGGCTCTGCCACTTCCTAGCCATGTAGCCTCTTGCAATTTATTTAATATCTCTTGGCCTCAGCATCTTGATTTGTGGATGGGGATACTAAGCATGCAGGGTTGTGGGGAAGCCTTAACTGAGACCTGTATAGAGCTCTTTCACAAAGTAGATGCTGCCACTCTTGGAGAGTCAGAGATCACTGACAATCTCTGTCTTCAAGGAGCTTCCATTGCAGTAGAAGAGACATGGCCACACGTAGAGGTGGGTAGAAGGATACATCTGTGTTGATATATGTAGAGAGTATTTAAAGACCACAGAAAGAATGATGGGCAAATTGATGACCTTTAAGTGCTTTGCATTGTGAGGGGTGATGTGGAGTAGATCCTAATGCTATTTGACCCACATTCTTATTCTATGACCATTTATGCACGTGCGTTTTAGATTATTTCTAATAAACATACATTTAGAGTAAAAATTCATTTTTGCTGTCCCTTTCTAATTTTTATCAAGTGTGATATATTTTTAAACAGATGTTTGAGAGCCGAGTTCTGAGGCTCGGGGCCTCACTACTTCTTTTTCTCTTGGGGAGGTGCTGCAAGGTCTTGGGTACTGAATAAGTGGTACAGTGTCTTGTGGAACATCAAAAATAAATATAGCCACAGGAATGAGGGGACACAGAGGCAAATTCAGCAGTGCTTTCAGGTTTACTGAGATGCCATCACCTGAGGGAATGGGATGTCACACAAGCTCTCAGTTCCAAGGGGCAGAGAGGCCGTGCTTCATTCTGCTCGTCTCTGACAGCACAGTGAATTTGTTAATGGGAAGAGTGGACATCCGATGTCGCCTGGTGGTGTCCTTTCCTGACCCCAGGACATTATGAAAATCATGGTATTGAATTTATTTTACAATGTTTCAGTAACAAAGTGCTTCATGGTTAATGTTTCAGGCCAAAGAACAGACAGGAGCGACAGCTTCTGTCATTTATGTCCCTCCTCCTTTTGCTGCTGCTGCCATTAATGAAGCTATCGATGCGGAAGTGGGCTTGGTTGTGTGCATTACTGAAGGTATCCCACAGCAGGACATGGTGCGAGTCAAGCACAGACTGCTGCGCCAGGGGAAGACAAGGCTGATCGGGCCAAACTGCCCTGGAGTCATCAATGTGAGTGTAAAAATAAAGGAAGCCTGGCTTTAGCCACTCACAAGGCTAACTAGCTTTGGCTCAGTCCAAGTGTATTTGTGTATATGACTTAGGAGTTAACAATTTTTTTTCACTTTTCTGAAACTGTGATTTACTTTCCTTCAGCCTGGAGAATGCAAAATTGGCATCATGCCTGGCCATATTCACAAGAAAGGAAGAGTTGGTGAGTATGTTTCTTATTGATTAAAAAAAAAATTCTTTGCCCTAGGCTTAAACTCAGAAAGAGAATTTGTGACTGAGCAAATCAAAATTCATTTTAATTAATTTACCTTTAGTAGAATGTACCAGGAAGTTTTGTAGTGAATCAATTCTATATCAGTTGAATGAGTTGGAGAAACAATAATAATTCTACAGAATCAGTGAAAATATTTTGGGGTTTTTTAAACGATTCTTTCCCTGCTCAGCACACTATGGATTATTCCTTATATTTGTATGTATTTAATAGTTAATTTTATTTTTTTGCTAAGTAATAGTCTATTGTGTGATTATACCACAATTTGTCTATTCTCTCATTGATGAACGTCTGGGTTGTTTCTAGGTTTGAGCCGTTATGAATAAGGCTAAGGTGAACTTTTATGTACAGGTCCTTTTGTGGACACATTTTCATTTCTCTTGGGTAAAATACCTAGGAATGGAATTGCTAAGTCATAGGATCAAAGTATGTTCAACTTTTTAAGAAATTGCCAAATAGTTCTGCAAAGTGCCTATGCATTCTACATTCCCACCATCAGTATATGAGCGTTCCAGTTGTTCCACATCTTTGCAAACATTTATTATTGTTAGTCTTTAATTTTAGCCATTCTTCTGGGAGTGAAATGATGTCTCATTATGGTTTTAATTTGGGTTTCCCTGATGACTAATGATGTCATGTGCTTATTGGCCATTTATGTATCTTCTTTTGTGAATTGTCTGTTCAAGTTTTTTGCACATTATTTTTTCTTGGGTTATCTTTTTTATATAATTTTTTATATAATTATTGATTATAGAGGGCTCTATAAATATTCTAGATATAAGTCCTTTGTCAGGTATACGTGCTGTGAATATTTTTGTTGTTAGCCTTTTGTGTCCTGTCCTAAAATTACTTTGCCCTCTTGGATATCACAAAGTTTTTCAAAATGTTTTGGGAAAATTGCAGTGCTACTTGTTTAGTTCCTGGAGGAAATAACCAACTTAACATTTCAAAGTTAGCCCATTATGCCTGTTTTTAGATTCTTTACACCTAACTCGCACTAAGCTACACTGTTTCTCCACAGTAATAGATGGTTATGGTATTTTCTCTATCTATAAACCATGACTGTTAATACTAAGACTAACCACCATAGTGGGTGAATGTCAGAACCAACAGGACTGGGTTGAAGGTCATGATTTGTCTTTATTACTAACGTCTCTTAGAGCTGTCAGCCCTGCTGCCAGTAGCGTACTCACCAAGTTCTCTTAAGAGGGAAGTTACAGGGAATTCCATGGACCATGTGAGTTCTAGTGGGGGCCTGATCCATGTAGTCACTGATGCTCTTGTACATATCTGAGTCCTCTCTATCATCTTTGGTCTTCTTTGAGTGGCTGTTGCTGTAGACCTGGGGTGGGCCTGGAAGAAGGAGTGCGCTGTGCTGAGTTGTCTTCTGGTCACCACCCTGCTTTCTAAGGTGCCTAAAACCCTCAAAAACAAAAAACTAAGAGAAATTCAGGGAAGTCCTTGGCCTTGGTTCTCTAAATGGCCATAACACATTGATGAGGCAATCCTGTGGGAGACTGCTTTTAATTCCTTTGAGAAGGGACTTAAGAAAAATATTTCACATAAAAGAAAATATGTGACACTACAAGATTTTTGAGGAGGTGAGGGAGAAAGGATGGTTATTTCTACTAACTATTCTTATTTTGATGCCGGTACTAATAGTCTCAGAAGCCTCAATGACTTCGAGTCCTTAAGCTAAGAGTTTAGGGAAAGGCAGGAATTTTCAGTCACTTGGGTATTTCTGAATGGGACATAATATAATATGATAGCAGTAAAATAGTATAGTGGCTTTCTAGTTTGTGTTAATGACAGCTAATAATATTTATATATCAGCTAATTAAATGTTATTGGATTATAAATTGATATTTAACTGTACCATATTTTTGGTTTCTCTTATGATAGACTTTTTTTTTTTACTCTCAACCACACATGACATACTTGAGCCCTCCATCCTTTTTTAAAAATTTATTTTAATTAAACTTTTTAGAGTTTCAATCTCTTTGGTGAAGTACTTCTTCTGTTCATTAGTTTTATTCCTGAGCTCATTGAACTGTCTTTCTGAGTTTTCTTGTAACTTGTTGAGTTTCTTCATGACAGCTATTTTGAATACTCTGTCAGTTAGGTTGCAATCTTCTTTGACTTCAAGTTTGGTTTCTGGAGAGTTGTCATTTGCTTTCTCTTCTACCATGTTACTGTAGTTCTTTGTGGTACTTGATGAGTTGATCCTCAGCGGTGCGTTTGTGGTAGTAAACACCTTTCTTATTTGGGTGAGGCTTTGGTTACTTTGGTTCTGAGCTGCTTCTGGTGGTATTTGAGAGCCTGCACTTTCCACTTCCTCTGCCTCTGCTACAGGCGTCATCAGTGCCCTCCTTGTCTGCTTGTGCCTCCAAGGTTGCTGGTGCCTTGCTGCTTACAGTGTCACTGCAGTCTCAGGTGTCACCACCAGGGTCACCAGGCTGCGAGCACTTCTGCTGCTTCTGGAGTCACCCCGGTCTGGTGTTCCCCCACTGGCTCTTCACAGGCTTTTCATGGGCTCGGGTGCTGCTGCCCGGTGCACCACCTGTGCTGCTCCTCCCAGGTTGTCTCTAGGTGCTGGCAGTATGGCTACCAGGGGTGCTGGGTTCGTGGATGTTGCTGCTGTTGCCAGGGGCCCGGGGTCTTGTATGTAGCCCCCGCTGCTGGTAGAGCCGGTGTTGGGGGTGCCACCACTGGGGGCTGGGTCACGGGTTCTGCTGTGTTTTCTGAATTGTCAGGTTGAGGGCACCACTCGCCACCACTAAGGGAGGAGCAGGGGCTAAGCCGCGAGTGCCTTTCCTGCTCCTGCAGCCTCTGGTCACTGGCGCTGGTGTGCTTTTTGAAACCTGAGGTCAGGACACCACTGCTCCTGCCAAGGGTATCTACGTTTTGGGTTACTGCTGCTGGGTGGGGGGGCTACTCCCCCAGTTCCACTGCCTCCCAGAGGTCCAGTCCAGTGATGTATAGATGCATGGATCTCTCAGGCATTCTGGTGAGCTGTGTAAGGACTTCTTTGTTGGTCACTGAATATCCTTCTGGTTGTAACTTAGAGGGGAGAGAGAAAGGGAACAACTCACTCCGCCATGATGCTGATGTCACTCCAACTAAACTTTTATACTCAGATAATTTTAAATTCACATGTAGTTGTAAATAATAATACAGATCTCCACGTACCCTTTACTCGGTTTCCCCCAATGGTAACATCTTGTAAAACTATAATATGATGTCACAACAAGGATATAGACATTGATACAATCAAGATAATAATTTTTCCGTCACCACAGGGATCCCTTGTGTTGCCCTTTTATAGCTACACTCACTTCCATCCTGCTCCCACTCCCTTATTAATCCTTGGCAACTAATAATCTGTTCTCCGTTTCTAAAATTTTGTCATTTCAGGAATGCTATATAAATGGAATTCCAGTATGTTGCCTTTTGGGATTGGCTTTTTATACTCAGTGTAATTCTCTGGAGATTCATCCAGGTTATTGTATCAATAGTTTGTTCCTTTTATTGCTGAGTAGTATTCCATGGTATGAATTTACCAGTTTAACCACTCACCTATTGAAAGATATCTGGGTTGTTTCCAGTTTGGGGCTATTACAAGTAAGGCTGCTATAAACATTTGTGTACTGGATTTTGTATGAACATAAGTCTTCATTTTTGGGGGATGAATGCCCAGGAGTGCAGTTGATGGGTTGTATGATAGTTGCCTGTTAGTTTTTTATGAAACTGCCAAATTGTTATCCACTGTGGCTATACCATTTTATGTTTTCATCATCAAGTATGTGTGATTCAGTTTCTCCGTGTCCTTGTCAGCATTTGTGATGTCACTATTTTTTTTGTGTGGCCATTCTGATAAGTGTTCAGTGATGTCTCATTGTGGTTTTAATTTACATTTCCCTAATGGCTAATGATATTGAACGTCTTTTCACATTATTTGTCATCTGTATATCTTCTTCAGTGAGATGTCTCTTCGTGTTGTTTTGCCTATGTTCTAATTGGATTATTTGCTTTTTTTTTTCTGCTGAGGAAGATTAGCCCTGAGGTAACATCTGTGCCAATCTTCCTCCATTTTTCATATGTGGCTCACTGCCACAGCATGGCTGACGAGTGATGTACTTTTGCTCCAGGGATCCGAACCCTTGAATGTCGGCTGCAGAAGCAGAACATGCCGAACTTAACCACTACACTGTGGGGCCGGCCCGGATTATTTACTTTTTTACTACTGAGTTTTGAGAGTTCTTTATATATTCTACATACTAGTACTTTGTTGGATTTGTGGTTTGCAAATATTTTCTCCCACTCTGTAGCTTCTGTTTTTGTGCTCTTAACGGGATCTTTCAGAGAGCAAAAGTTTTTAATTTTGATGGTCTAATTTATTAATTTTTTTCTTTTATGAAGTGTGCTTTTGATGTCAAGTCTGAGAACTCTTTGCCTAGCCTTAGGTCCCTATTTTTTCCTGAAAGTTTTAAAGTATTACATTTTACAATTTAAATCCATGATCTAATTTCAGTTAATTTTTCTATAAGATGTGAGACTTAGATCAAAATTCTTTTCTTTTTTTTGCCTGTGGATGTCCAATTGCTCCAGCACCATTTGTTGCACAGTTGTATCTTTCTTCCATTATATTGCTTTTGCATTTTTGTCAACAATCCATTGACATATTTGTGTTGGTCTATTTCTGGGTGCTCTCTTCTGTTCCGTCGACTTGTGTGTGTTTTCTTCCACCGGTACCACATAGTTTTAATTACTGTAGCTATATAAGTCGTCTTGAAATTGGGTAGATTGATTCCTTGCACTTCATTCTTTTTCTAGTTATTTTAGCTATTCTAATTCCTTTACTTTTCCATGTAATTTTTAGAATGATCTTGTGTATATCTATAAAAACTCTTGCTGGAATTTTGATAGGAGTTGTGTTAAATCTGTTAAATCGGTATGTCAATCTGGAGTGAATGGACATCTTTACTCTGTTGAATCTTCCAATCTGTGAACACAATATATCTCTCCATTTATTTAGATTGCCTTTGATTTCTTTCATCAGCATTGTGTAGTTTTTAGCATACAAGCCCTGTACATGCTTTGTTAGATTTACACTTAAATATTTCTTTTTTTTTTAAAGCAATCGTAAGTTTTATTGTATTTTAATTTTTGTGTCCATGTGTTCATGGCTGAGATATAGAAATACAATTGATTTTGTATGTTTATCTTGTATCCTGCAATGTTGCTGAACTCACTGGAAGTTCTTGGTAGATTCCTTAGCATTTTATATGTAGACAATTAAGTCATCTACAAATAGGGGCAGTTTTATTTCTTCTAAAGAAAATTCAAGAGAAAAAGTAAAGTCGATTGTATCTATCCATAGTTTTGCTTACTGTGTCCTTCCTTCCTGGTATTCTGAGTTTCCTTCTTTTATCATTCCGTTCTGCTTAGAGAACTTCCCTTAGCCATTCTTTTATGATAGATCTGTTGGTGAAAAATTCCTTAGTTTTCCTTCATCTGAGAATGTCTTTATTTCCCCTGTATTTCTGAAGGGTAATTTTACTGGGTATAGGATTCGAGGTTGACAGTTCTTAACTTAAGAACAACTTAAAAAATGTTGTTCAATTTCTTCTTTCCGTGGTTTTTCTGATGAGAAAGCCAATGTCGTTTAAATTGTTTTTCCTGTTATTTCTCTCTTGCTGCTTTCAAGATTTTTTTTGTCTTTAGTTTTCTAAAGTGTATTTATGATCAGTTTTGGTCTGAATTTCTTCAGGTTTCTCCTGTTTGGGGTTTGTTCACCTTCTTGAATATGTAGATTTAAGTCTCTTGCCAAATTTTGGATTTTATAAGACATTATTTCCTCAAGTAATTTTTCAGCCTCTGTGTTCTTTTCTCTCTGCTTCCAGGACTCTGATAACACAAATATTCGACCTTCTGTTATAGTTCCATAGGTCCCTGAGGCTCTGTTCATTTTTCCCCCAGTCTCTTTGCTCTCGCCATTTGGATGGGGTAATTTTCATTGTTCTTTCATCTCACTGATTCTTTCGTCTCTCCTCTCCATTATGCTGTTGAGTACATCCACTGTGCTTTTAGCTTTGGTTGTTGTATTTTTCAGTTCTAAACTTTCCATTTGGTTGCTCTTTATATCTTCTACTTTTTTTGCTGAGACTTCATATTTCATTGATAAGGCTTTCTATTTTCTCATTTGTTTCCAGCATGTTCATAATTGTTAAATCATTTTTATCATGGCTTCTTTAAAATCCTTGGTAGATATTCTAACATCCCCTTCATCTTGGTCTTAGCATCTGTTGATTGCCTTTTTTCATTCAGTTTGGGATCTTCCTGGTTTTTGGTATGCCAAGTGATTTTTGATTGAAAACTGGATATTTTGGACATTATGTTATGAGACTCTGAGTCTTATTTGGACCTTCTGTTTTTGCTGCCTTTATTGACACTGCTTCTACAGGGGTTGTTGGGGGAAGCACCTTGTTACTGCCAGGTGGAGGGAGGTGTCCAAGTTCCCTACTTTCCTCAGTTGACACCAGAGTGGGTGGGCTCCTCCTTATTGGAGATGATAGTTCCCGTTCTGCACGTGATCTCCACTGACACTTCATTGGGGTGGGGTTCTTGCTGGATGCTGGTGGAAGTCCTCACTCTCCACTAGGCCTTCTCTGATACTATGCCACCAAGGAGGTGGAGAAATGCCTCATTACTGCCAGATGAGGATGGTCATCCAGGCTCCCCACATGGTTTCTGCTGACACTGTGTGGGTGGGGTGGGCAGGGGCTTGTTACCAGCTTGTATAAATGAAAGTCCTGGGTACCTGCTTTGCCTTCTCTTTCACCATCCTGGCAGGCATGTTGGGGTGCCTCATTACAGCCTGATAAATGTGGAAGTCTAGGATTCCCTCTTGACCTTTGCTCATGTAAGTGGAGGTGTAGCCATAGTTTTTTCTGTAGTGTTTGGTTGGTATGGAGTGGTTATTATCTAAAAATTTTCTGTTTTGCTAGATTGTCCTTCTCTTGGTTCTTTCACTAGAGAGAGCAGGCTTTTTTGGGGATGGGGGGTGGATTCTGTGCCCTTATGTGTTTCTGGAATGCTGGCTTCTTTAGCTCCATATCTGGGATACATGAGGCAAAAGAAAACCCAGGGAACTCACCACTCTATCATTTCTTGAGTCTAAAGGTCCCTAGCCACTCTGCCTTGTCTCCATCTTTAAGAGATTTCTTATGTTTGTTTTATATATAATGCCCAGGGTTTTTAGTTGTACTTAGCAGGAAGAATAGAGGAAAGTACCTGTGCTTTTTGGAAGCAGAAGTAGCCTTCAAGTGATAGGCTCTTTTACTATATACACTTTAAGGATGGCAGGAGTAATCTCCCCTAAAAACATTACTTTCATTACCTTCAGTGTGTGCAGTTTGCATTTATATAATTTATACATCCTTTATATAATTTTAAATGAAAACCCCTTAAAAGAATAACATCCTAGTGTTACTCTTTACTGATTATTGTACTAATCCATTAAAAGACTAGAATAGGGGCTGGCCCGGTAGCGTAGTGATTAAGTTTGTGCGCTCTGCTTTGGCAGCCCGGGGTTCGTGGGTTCAGATCGTGGGTGAAGACCTATGCACTGCTCATCAAGCCATGCTGTGGTGGCATCCCATATACAAAATAGAGGAAGATGGGCACAGATGTTAGCTCAGGGCTAATCTTCCTCAGTAAAAAGAGGAAGATTGGCAATGGGTGTTAGCTCAGGGCGGATCTGCTGCACTGAAAAAAAAAAAAAAGACTAGAATAAATAAAATAGTTGTTCTTCCCAGTAATCTAGGATGTTGGATGGACAATTAGAACATAATTATATCATAAGAATCAAATGGGAGTAGAGTGGAAAGGAGACTAGATAATTGCACACGAAGATGTACAACTGAGTTACTGATTCTACTTTGTTTGAAGGCTAAATACACCAAATAACATAGGTGTGTAGGCATTTAACTACCTAGCCTTCTCAGTTAGGAAAGGTCCCACAGAGGAGGGACTGTGTTAAGGAGAGAGGATGTAGACTGGAAGAAGGCTCTGAGAATAGGGAAAAACTAGTGAATGAGACAGATGGGGGATGGTGATAGTGGTTGTCACTTGTCATGAATTAGGGTCCGGTTAGTGAATGGTCTTAAAACTTTTGGAATTAGATTTTGTTTGAGAGGGTGGTTGTACTCCATTGAAGGATTTTCAGTTTTGACCCATTCAGTAAGTATCTTTTGAGCTCCTTCTGTGCCCGAACTGTACTCTATACAGGGAACACAGGGGTCGGAAAAACAGTCTTGTTTACTGACCACCTAGAGGTTATAGTCTAAAAGAACACGGTCACCACAGAATCTCGAGCACCGTTGGTAAGTCTCTTACTGAACCAGACGGTAGGAGAACAGTGTTCTTCCTTAAGGAATCAGTGTGTGGACGGGATATAGCAAGCCTAACTATGAATTTATTTTCCTAAACCAGGGTTATTAGCTAAAGATTAATACTTGAAATTTATGCCTTCTTTTTTTCCTTATGGAACTTTTTATAGATTTATTGTTCCATCTTACTGTAGGTCAGCGGGAGCAGGCCATTGTATGTGGAAGCCTTTAGGTCTTTCTTACACTGCTTTTCTAGTCATAAAATAACCCTAACTAATAATATGCTTTCTCCTATGTCTAACTTTTAAAACCTCCCTGATTTATTTAAGCTTTTCTTCTTACTTCATCATTTGAAGATATTGTTTATTTGGATTACAAATCATGGAATGGATTTTATATACAGTTGTGTTTGTAATTTAGTTTACCATATGATAGTCTATCATCTGAACATAATCTAATATTTTTTAATTCTCTTCCTTTAAGGTATCGTGTCCAGATCTGGCACCCTGACTTATGAAGCGGTTCACCAAACTACACAAGTTGGATTGGGGCAGTCGTTGTGTGTTGGTGAGGGATTTTTGCTAAAATCATTTTGTGGAAGTGCAGTATCTTATTGAATAAGTACAATGATAATTACTGATTTGATTATTTGCAAGAGATTTTGATATCATTTTATTAAAAGATGTTATGATCTCGAATTTCCTTTGCTTAACTGTGAAGCTCTGCTGTGTATTCTCGAGAATCGTGGTCCAAGATTTGACTTCCGTGTTGCAGAGCAAGCGTCCCAGGATGTGTGGCTCCTGGAGAGCCTCGGTGGCTAAAAACGGCACTTATTTTGCTTGTGAAGAAATGGCGCTTCATATTAGGACAGCTGTTACTATAATTATCATTTTGCTATCATTATAAGCTATCATTCACTTACTGAATTCTTTGCCATTCATTATCTCATTCTTAAGGCAACCCTCTGAGGCACCTCTGAGCTGAAAAGTGTCCTGTTACAGCTTTATTGGTGAGGAAACCTAGGTTGAGGAAGGTTGAGCTCCCCAGAACCTCTCTTTTGCCACATCATACTGCTTCCCACTTTTAAAAGTAAAAAAATGTCTACATTGTAAAATAATCTTGGTGTTTGTTGCCAAAAGCTAGGCAAATTTCTCATTTTTATAAATAGTCCTTCAATTCTTAGAATACCTTTTAAAAACCTTTCAAAAATAGTTTTTTATAATAGAAAATTATAAAATATAACCCTGGAGGATTTTTATTAAAACTCAGATCCATAAATCAGTGTTGGAAACATTCATTGGGCTTTTCTATGTGTAATGCAAAATCTTAGATACCAGGTAACTTAGTGTGATGGAGAATAAGAAAAGCTTTTAAGACAGAGTTGCCAACTCCATCTTTTCTAGCCTGTTTTTAATTTGTTAATTGGGAGTGATAATGCCCATCTTACAGAGAGGTTGGAAGATTTAGGAAATGACAGGTCTAACATGTGCTAAGGCACAGTGCTTGACACAAGATTGGCACTCGATAAATGCTACTTCCCTTCCTCAACTTGGTTCTTCAGAGAAAAGATGACAGAGGTATCTGTCCCTCACTGGGCCTTGTGTCTTAAAACTTGTGAGTCTTTCCTCTGTAATGTGCCTCATCCAATAGTTACTTTGAGCAAAGAAATTCATTAAATGTTTAATCAAAGAAGATATTCTTTCTTACTTGCGACACAAAGCCAGATTTTCTTACAATGCTTATTTTATTTTGTTTATTTTTTTTGGTGAGGAAGATTGGCCCTGAGCTAACATCTGTTGCCAATCTTCCTCTTTTTGCTTGAGGAAGATTCGCTCTGAGCTAACATCTGTGCCGATCTTCCTCTATTTTGTATGTGGGACGCCGCCACAGCATGAGCAGTATGTAGGTCCTCACCTGGGATCCAAACCCGCGAACCCCGGGCCACCAAAGCGGAGCACGCGAACTTAACCACTATGCCAGCTGGCCCACCCACAATGCTTATTTTTAAAGAGTTATCTAGGAATAATTTTGTGGGAGGGAAGAGGCTTGATAAATGAGCTAAAACAAAAAGAGGGTCATCTTTGGTAATATCAGGAACCAACCACCATTTAGCCTTCATGTGATATTATAAGCAAAAATAAATGTAGCCTTTTGTGATTTTTAAATGTTAAATGCAAGAATGATGATATATTTAAAACTGTTGGTGAGAAGGGGGTAGACAAAATAAGAAAACAGTTGAAACAACATTTCTTGACCTAAATTTCATGGTTCTTCCTTATATTTTCAGCTGGTGTTGATATTCTTTGACTTTTTCAGGCATTGGAGGTGATCCTTTTAATGGAACAGATTTTATTGACTGCCTTGAAATCTTTCTGAATGATCCAGCCACAGAAGGCATCATATTGATTGGTGAAATTGGTGGTAATGCAGAAGAAAATGCTGCAGAATTTTTGAAGCAACATAACTCAGTAAGTTTGGGTTTGGAAAAATATAGCTCTTTGCTCTTGAATAATAGCAGAGGCTTGTTTTAGGAGTTTTTTAATTTTTTCAAAGATTGATTTTTCAAGAAAACATAAAAGATAAAATCAAACCTTTCTGAGCTGGACCTTCAGTACAGCCACTCAATAAACTCCGGACTCTTTCTGGGTCGCTTCTCCTCCCGCTTCCCTGCAATGCCTGGTCTCTACTCTGAATGCCCCTCCCAGGGGTCACCTCACGCTCTTGTGGTAGGTGAGTTGGCCTCCTGCTGAGTGGAGAACATTCAGGCCTTCAGCCTGAAAGCCCTCACTTGACCTGCAGATTTACATTTTCACCTATCATTGCTGTTCTTTCTGTTTTTCAAGGCTGACCTTCTAAAGATCCTATCCTTTCTACCCTTTTCCAGAATCTCATCTCGCTCTAGCTTCAGTCTTTCCTTGTAGAGCAGCACTTCCCCTCAGGTCAAGTAGAAAAGCTTTGTTATCCACATCCTATGAAGGCTTTCCTTGCTGTCTCTACCTTAGAATTAAACATCAAGAATAGTGTGGGGTTGTATCATAATTTCATTTAGCCTGAGGGAATTAAGCTCTATTCCTGGGGTGAAGGAGAGAAGAGGGCACAGTAACGGCTGAAGCAGCTTGGTGCCCACCAGCCCCAGCAGTGAATGTGCGCTCTGGACCTTGTGGCCAAGATGTTGGGGAAAATCATGGGAATGATGTTCAAGATTTTCCTGACACTGATGAATGAGTGAAGAAGCATCTTCAGGAGGCCAGGCAAGAGGGAAGAGATAACTTTGTCTCTATATTTGTGAAAGAAATTGAAGAGTGAATGAAGTAAATCCCACAGAGAAATAATGACAACAGGAGAGTTAAAGGAACCAGTATCACGTACAGGGTAGTATACACAAAACAATGCATATTTATGTGTGATTTAAGGAATTTTCGAGGGCTATTTTGAGTATACTCAATTTTCTTCTGAGGAGATTTTAAACTCTGATCTCCATATAAGATGTGACTCAACTTTCTCCTCATTTTCTGGATCTCTTTCCTTATTTTTTATTCACTCCCTAATCCTCAGCAGTCTGACTTCTGTCTGCCACTTAGAAGCTGTGTGACCTTGGGCATGTTACTTAACTTCACTGTGCCTCAGTTTCCTCTTTGGCAAAATAGGGATACATTAGTGCCTACTTCCTCACGTTGTTGTAAGGGCTGTGGTGTTTAAATGACTTAGTAATGTAGAGCCGAGTCAGGCATGTAGTAAGCACACTTACTGAGCTGTTTGCTCACTGCTGCTCTGCTCTTGAATCTACTCTCCTGACATTGCTTTTGCAGAGGTCAACAGTGGCCTCGATTCATTCTTCGTCCTTTCCGTCCTCGCGGTTTTTCTCCTGGTTCTTCTTTTTATCCTTCCCTGGATTTACTTTCTGTGCCTATTCCTTAAGTGTGAATGGTTATATGTGTAAACAACATGGTGCTTCATGCAGTTTTCAGGGCAGAGACCTCAGCTCCATCTTTTATTTCTCTCTCATCCCTTGCTTCCACTCAGTTACCAAGGTCGGTCTCTGAGATCTCAGTAGTGTGTTGAGATTGAGAGCATCGTCTATAAATGAGTCCCTCTGCTCTGGGTCAGGCCCTCATCTTATCTCACTGGGACCATGTCGATCGTTTCTTCCTGATATCTCTTCTTTCCTTCAGCCACCCCCACCTTCTCTCCCAGGCCACCCAAATTATCTGCCCTTCTGAAACACAGACGTCAGTGCCTCGTGCTCCCTGGTTTTAAACCATTACAGTTTCTCGTTACACGTAGAATAAAGGCCAGACTTAGCACGGTATTCCAGTCCCTCGCACAGCACCCTAGCCTTCCTGTTCAGATCCATGTTCCGTCTGACACGCCAGTGGTTTTCATTCTTGCTTGCCTTTGCTTATTCCCCTGCAGGGCATGCTTAATATCTGCCTCTCATGCTAGACTGTATTATCCAGCAGGGAACCGGTATCCTCGATGCCCAGCCCAGTCCCCGGGCACAGTAGGCACCGATAAATGTCCAATAAGTGAAAGAATAAAGTAGATTATTAGGAGATTGGAGTAAAATGTTATTAGATTCTCTTGAATTCAGAAAATTTGTAAAGTTTGAAATTTAAGTAAAAACTGACTTCTTTTTAGAAAAAAAAAGATTTAGGTTAATATGACATTACACTTTGTGAAAGTGAATTTTAAAATGTATTTAAGCCAAACTCTGAATCCTTGAATAGCTTAGGATTTAATGGGAAAAACTAAATATGCATTTTGTTTCATTTGGCACAAGTTTTCGTATTCCTGGTTAGTTCTTACGGAACTAATTTTTATTGAGGACCTACTGTGTACAAGATTCTAGGTTGAACAGTTCAGATGACATATTATACAAAACAGTTAGCACGATACCTGGCACAGAGTGAATACGCAGTAGTGTTATCTGCTGCTGCAACTACTCTTATTATCATTGTTACCGTGACGGTAATTATCTGCAAAAGTGGTGTTGTTTAACCTTTATCCTGCCCCTTTGAGTCAGATGTTTTTGTCCTTTTCTGAGTGAGAGACTGGCACAGGGAGGTTAGTAACTACCCAGTGGTGGGATTCATACCCAGGGCTGCCTGGCTTCTCCGTTACATCATGGAGGGATCGGAAGTCACACTTCAGGGGTTAAGGGCAGAGTCAGCAGTCCTGGGCATCTGCTTGGACTTTACTGATACCTCCCTAACTGGTCTTTCTGCTTTTAGGCTTTCACACTTCTCATCATTTCTGTTTCCTGTTTTCAGACTACCCTTCCCCAGAGTCTTTTACTATATTTTCCTCTGTTTGAAAATCTCAAGTGACTCTTCTTTGTTAATAGGACAGAGTTTAAATTTGTTTGATATTCTAGGTTCGCCATAATCTTGTTCCTTTTCTAGTGCAGTATTCCCTCTATTTGAGTACGGGGACAGGGATCAAGTGGAAATTAGTGCCGCTCAAATATGAGATGCTCTTATCCTCCGCAGAGCCCACAGTGAATGGATAAAAGACTTGTGGAGTCTTTTGTTTTTAATTCTCCACTGCAGTGGGTGCTGGGCTCACAGAAATAAGTGAGGACACAGTCCCTGTGTTCAGGGATCCATAGTTTAGGAGGGGGACACGTGGGAAGTAAGTACAGCCTCTGTACTGAGGTAACAGAAGGAATGTGGCAAAGGCACGGTGGGGTCCTTCAACAGAAGGTGGTCAACTGTAGGGGGCTTTGTGGAGAGCGTGGGAGGAAGAGTCAGAAAGGCCTATGTGGGAGGAGGAGGCTCGAGCCAGGTCTTAGAAGTCAAGTAGAAATTTGCCAGGTATCCAAGGAAGGTGGAGAGCATTCTCAGCAGAGGAACAGAGGCAGAGCATTCCGGTCTGGAGTTACTGGAAGAAAAGATGAGGGAAGAATGGGGAGACGGGGCTTGAGTGAGCAGTGTCAGACCATGCAGACCCTGGCGTGCTGGCACCTGAGCCTGAATCAGGGCTGTAGAAGCAAACTGTGCTAGTGGTCATTCACCACCATGTACTTACAGGTGAAAAAAAAAAAGGCCAGTTTCATTTAAAAATGTCCTTGATGAAGCAGTAAAATTATGAATTTTATTAAATCTCAACCCTTGAGTCAGTATTTTGTGGTGAAATGGAAAGGAAAGCACTTTCCCAATTGAGTTGTAGCTGAACTAGCTAGCTCCTTTTTTTCATGGAACACCAGTTTTACTTGAAAGAATGACTAGCAGACAAACTGTTATTCAAATTTGAGTATTTGGCAGACCTTTTCTCAAAAATGAACAAAGCAAACCTGTTTCCATATCACGGAAGACAACTCATACTGTTTGTTGCCAGTGATAAAATTTGAGCTTTCAAGTGAATATTAATATTTTGGAAAACTTGTTTCTGCCACCATGAACTTGACAACTTCCCCCACTAAAGATTTTTCTAATGAAATTGTTGGTGATACTGACAAATGTGATTTGTTGATATTGAATGATGAATGTGTCAGCATTTGGAAGATCTACGTAACTCACTGAATCTATATTTTCTATCTGACCAATGCATGTTACAAAATCATTGTAGGCGAAAGATCCTTTTAAAGTGCAAGACAGAGCAATGAATTTTAAAGTAACAAAGTAAAGTTCATTGCTGTGGTTTCAGATTCCAACACTGCATCTAACCTTTAAGAAATTACCACTTGAAGAGGTTCATGTAGTATCAAAAAACAATATCCACAATTATCTGACAGGCTATTAAAATACTTCCCCCTTTTCCAACTACATATGTGTGTGAGGCTGGATTTTATTCTTGTACCTCAGCCAAAATAACATATTGCAATAGATTGAATGCAAAAGCAGATATCAGAATCCATTTGCCTTTATTAAATTAGACATTCAAAGTTGCAAAAATGTAAATGCCACTCTTCTTACTAGAATTTGTTTTAAAAATATAGTTTTAAAAAGTTATTATTTTTAGGGGCCAGCCTGGTGGCGCACCAGTTATGTGCACGCACTCTGCTTGGGCAGCCTGAGGGTTCGCAGGTTCGGATCCCGGGCGCGCACTGATGCACTGCTTATCACACCATGCTGTGGCGGTGTCCCATATAAAATTAGAGGAAGATGGCACGAATGTTAGCCCAGGGCCGGTCTTCCTTGGCAAAAAGAGGAAGATAGGCATGGATGTTAGCCCAGGGCCGGTCTTCCTCAGCAAAAAGA